CCCCAGGCCCTCGCTCTGCCTCGCCCTCGCCACCCGGCCGGCGGCTCCCTCAACTTCGCGGCGGTCTCCTGTCAAGATGCGGCTGGTGGCTCCGGAGCGGCTGAGCCAGCACCGCCTGCCCGGCTCTGCGCGCTGGCTGTCGGAAGCAGAGTAGATGTGACAGTGCCTCTTCAAGCGCAGCAATTAGTGCCTCTGAAAGTAATTTACAGCATTTGCCTACTTCGGTCACCCAAGTGTAAACTAGAATGCTTTTAAACTTGGACTTATTTAGAAGTTCTGTTGGAATTATCAACCGAGGATTTAGAAAATAGGCTCCTTTTGTCTACACATCTCTACTTTTCCTCTCACCTTTGGAAAGTTCTTAAGAAACATAATGCTGACTGAGGGTAGTAAGAGTCAGGTACACAGCTGAATACTTGAAACTACCCCTGTTAGTGGGAAGAGACCTAACTGTTTCAAGTAAAGCAAAAATATTTTCTAGTCTACAAGCATCAAAGTTACAACAACGACAGACATCTCTCTATAAAGTGGCAACTCTAGTCTTGAAATATAGTGGAACAGATAAGTTGTTTCTCGCTTTGAGAAGAAATCTAAATAGATAGATAAATTTTGAGTGCTGGGTCTAATAAATAAGTGTTATTCTGGGGGCGTTCCATGTCATTTTCTAGACGCTTAAAGAAGGTGCTACTTACCTACTTAATAAGTAAATCATAAAATGTGAGTAAAACAAAATAGCATCCATTAGCGATTCCTGCTGTCCAGAAAGAGAAGGAATGTGTATTGTGACTTGGCTACAACATTCTCTTTTATCAGTCTAAGAGATACCCTCTTGACAAGCAATGATTCTCTCAGCTGATTGGGCATATCTTGCAAAGATATTTTACTTACAAATTGAATCTCTGAAGGTTGTGGTTCCAGAGTCGGGGTTTTGGGGGCGAGATGAGCTTATGTTTTATCCAACTGGCCCACAAAGTCCCGCTTTTGGTGGTCACTTTGTTCTGCAAAAGAAACCAGTGCATTATGGCTCTTACAGTGGACATTAAACTTAGTAGTAAACTACCGCTGCACTTAGTAAAAGGCTACTATATACTTTACATAATATTCTAATATTAATATTGTCTTCAGCAATAAAAAGTGGCTAGAAAATACTGTCATTCTGGAAGCTGATCATAAAAAGAGAAGGTTTCTAATTGTTGGTTGGTGTTCTTCTCTTAGAAAGCCAGTGAAAGCTGACGATAAAGTTTCAAAGACTGGTCACTCAGTATAGGTGAACTGGGAGAAAAGGAAGTAAGTCCCTAGAAAAGAGAGGCAGCTTAAACCTTGAAAACATCATATAAGTGCCGGTAACATATCAATCCCCTCTTTTTTTTTTTTTGCTCACCAAGTGTTCAGTTTTAATGTATCTCTTTAACTAGCTGGTTTTTAACGTGCATGTGTGTTTGTGTGTCTACTTGTGTACGGTCTGATCTATGAATCAATTTAAAGATATCTAATTTTTGTAAAGATAAAAGTGTAGAATATATTTTTATGAGTAAGGCACTGTAAACCTGAGCTTGGTAGAGCTGTTTAAATTCATGTTACTGTTTACATTTTCGGATCAATATCCTAAAGAATCTGACCATATTTTTTACTTAAAAATCACGTAGTTGTACTTTCCTCATGGGATTCTAGTAAGTGTTGAAAATTTGTTAGTAGGTAGGGTGGATTTTCTTGTGGATCTGAACATACTGTACATATATGTCTTAAGATAGAATGAAACACGTTACTACACTTATATAATTTATACAATGGCCCATGTATACGGCATACACACACAGAATACATACAGCAGCATCCTCTCAGTTGGTGTAAACGTGTCTGTCATAGTTTTGACATTTTATGCCAGCTAATCACCTGCTGAAGTTACACATAAACATCTAGACATTCACATTGTGGTCACATTATCATTGCAGTCAGATTAATTTTAAGACCCACCCAGACTGAATCCATTTGAGTATTTCAAAAGGGCCTGGAAATTCAGCTGAAGTTACACAGTGATGCACTGTTAAAGTGAAGTTGTTGATATGTGATACATTGCATGACTATATGCACGATCTGTATATTCGTGCTGAATTATCAAGATTTTTATATGGAATTCTGGTATTTTACATTTTATTGCAATATGAATGCTAGACATGAAATAGGACATATCCAACCCTCAGTGCAACACATTCCTCACTTGTTTAAGACTGAAATCTGATGTGGAAGAGCTTAAGTCAGAATTCTGCTGCTAATATGCCTTTTAGCTACTATTTTGCATGAAATAATGCTGTTCAAAAGCAGCATTTATGAGAAGGTTAAATTTTCATGAGCCAATTAAACTACAACTTTAACTGAAGAAAAATCTTTATCTTTCAATTCTAGTACTTAGCTCGTGAATGCATTCTGGACCTGTCCAATATTACAAGTTGTCAGATTTGGATTGGTTTAATGCCTATGCTCTCTTCAGTAGCATTCTGAGGACGTAAGAGCAGAGAATCAGAGACCAGAAAGTGGATCAATGTGAGGATCTTGCTTTAAGGGAAAAGAAAAACAAACTTACATACCTAAACAGCAGCAAAGATCAACTCTGCTCTGCTGAAATACAGCAGTTGCTTCTCACCAACTATTACTTTAAAGCCCTTAAAACATGCCATTTTGTATAGCTATTTTCAGTAAGATGTGCTTTATGCAGCATACTTTGTTAACCATTTTTAGATTTTTTTTTCAAGTAGGTTCTATTTGATTTTCTATTGAAGATACATAAAATTCACATGCATTCTCTCTAGCACCAATAACCTAGCTATAGAATTAATAAACTATTTAAATGATTAATGAGCAGTGGTAAAGAACACAGTTACACTTCTGTAGGCTGTCCTCATACAAAATTTTTATTAACACTTTTTCCCATTATTAAGCTTACAGAAAGCGCTCCTTGTTGTCCCTAGTGTGCAGTAAACCAGACCATTTTCTACTACTATAGATTTCATGCATATATATTAAACTTTAAATGTATGTTCATTTTATATGTCACCCAAATTAATGATGATTAGACAAAACATGATAGATTCCCTAAACATCTATGTTATAAAAATTTGATCTCTCTCTCTCACGCTGGTTTTCCCACAAGGTTTGCGTGCAGCGTGAGGTGGTGGCCTCAGAGCTGAGGCTCCTGAAGTACTGTACTGTGTATCCAGAGCATTAATAATTAAATACCTGAGATCAGCCTATCTTGCTGTTTGAAATGAAAAAAGAGATTTATAGAATATAAAAAGTAGATGATATATTTGGAATCAAAATTAATTTTCCTTGAGATAAAAACTCTCATGAATTATTGAAAAAATAATATTTAGGAAAATCAAATCCAATTATTTATTGCATTTATAATTTATAAAATTGAAAGCCCTACTAGCTATGTTTCTATTTAAAATAAATCTAAAACTACAATTTTAGAATGACTTTTCTACATTTTTAAGCAAACCTTTAAAAAAACAGCTTACAAACACTGAATCAGCAGAGGATTATCAAATGGACTGTTTACTTTTGAAATTTTATTGAAAGGAGTGAAAAGATCAGGATCTCCACCAGAATCCAGTGGCATGGTTTGGGGATTGGTCTGTAGCCTGCATTTTCTGAAGCAGGGCCTTAACCTTTGACATCTCCTGACCTCATGTTGCAACAGAAAAGTTTTGTGACTCCCCTCTGATCTAGCCATTGAAAAAAAGAGAGGGAGGTAGTGACCCCGAGTTTGGAAGCTCATGACCTGGAACAACAAAAATTTTTGCCTTAGTAAAGGCTACAAAATCAGTTGTCCCTTCATATGAAGCTCTCCAGAATTCTTCCAGGGCATGCCACACAGACACTCAAGGTATGATTTTAAAATTGTGTTTTGTTCTTTGCTCTCTGTTTTAATGTTACACAACAGCACTGTTTGCCTGTGTATGACCTGGACCTCTTGCCACAAAGAAAATCTATGCGAACATACACCAGTATGTTCAGAACACATTTTTCAAAAGTATCGCTCAAAAATCCTTTTTTATTTGCCTTAAAAATCGTATTTAGCAGGTTATGAAGCAAAAGAAATTGGATTTTTTGATGGCTTTAAAAATGGTAGGGGAAAAACATTGCTATCACCTGGAAGCTGCACCTGTAGTGGAAGAAGTGTTAGAAAAGTGGTTGTATTACATGAACTGCCAAATCCACTTCAGACCATGCAGCTTGAGACTATGAAGCTTCTGGTGAAATGAATGAATTTAAAGCATCATTTGCCCTGTTCACAGCACACATCAGTTAATAAATACGCAAGTCTCTTGTTGCAGCATCATACACTTTTCTCAAACAATGGAAATGTGTAGGGAATTCGGTAGAGGTACAAACATGGAAAAAAGAAACAAAGAATCAGCTTTTTTGCCTGTCAAAATGCACAAATGATTTCTGTTTACAAGGTTTCAGTGCAAGGTCAGTGTTTACATAGGTGATGTTTGAATGGATAGGTGTTATTCAGCTTGTGGATTTTTTTCAGGACATTTCTACAACACGTACAGAATAAATAAAGATAGTAGGAATAGAAATAAAACCACATCTATTACTGAGGTAACTTGCTTCGTGAGCTAGCCAAATATGACTATGTTAGCGGTTGGCTTCAGAAGGTTACCACTAATTTCTGACTCCCTGTTGGGTATAAGGCTCTTCAATTATCAACATCTTATTTTCCACACTGGAATCATAATTCTCTGCAGACAGACTCTAGAGTTTTAAAATATTTTTTTTTCTTTTTCTGTTTGGAGCATACCTGCTCCTAGCTGAGCTCAGAAGAAGTCTTAAAAATGATGCATCAGTCCTGTCTGATTTTCTAATATACTGAATGCTTACATAGTTGATACACATTAATAACTTTAAACAAAACTATTTTGATCT